AAATGCTTTTGTGAGCTGTACATTCGTGCTTGCTCCCAATCAGAGTAAGAAGAAATAGGTGGCTCTTCTGTGTTTGTATTTATATTAATTAGTAAACATTTCATTGATTTAAATATCTTCTACTGAGAAGCTGAGGGCTGCATTAGGGCTGTCAAGTTCTGAGCACGTGCCGAGCAATGGCCATCCCTAGAGAAACAACAGCTCTTGGCCTACAGTTATTCTTAGAAACTGGACTTAGTACTGGCTGCTTTTATACTTGGGATAAGGGGATAATTTAATGGAGGTTAAATTACATCATTAAGATTAACAATTTTATAAGCTATGGAAAATTTTGTGCTTCTGTTTCATAGAACAGAAAGTGAAAAGCCTCATGGAGACAGTTGGGAGAGTTACAAGTTCTGAGGGAATCAATGAGAAAAGAATTGTAGCAATTAAGGAATTAATAGAGAATATCATTGTTTTTGTACTTAAACATTACCATTTCGCCTCACTTGTTAAACAGACATCTGTTGTTTTATTCTCTGTTAGAGAATTAACCTAGATTGGGAGGTCACATTTTTATGTTTTCCTTTATAAAAGTAGTTTTGTAATTACTGCCTTATGTATTTATTGTAGAAAATCTGGAAAATGTAAAAAAATGTGACTCACTAGCATGACAGACTATTTGCACCTTTTATTATTGTAATATTGCTTAATTTTCTAATCCAGATGACTTTATGAGTAGGAAATGAAGAGAAAAAAGGATACATAGAATTATAAGTATTTTTGGGTACCATTTGATGTTTTAGCAATTGTACATATTTTATAAAGTGTAAATCTCATTAGAAATATCTCTCTATTCAAATCTGTATCATTTACTGAAAACATGTAAAATGCTTACATTTAAAAATATAGAGTACATTGTTGTTATATATAAATACCATAATAAACAACAGCAAACTAGAACTTCTTTCTATCTAACTATAACTTAGTACCTGCCATTGAACTTTTCCGTATTCCTTCTTTCCTTCTGCTCTCTCCAGCATCTAGATTTCTGGACGAAAATCTTTGCATTTTGGGGAACAAGGAATACAGAAATAAAATCTCTAGGAGAAAAAATCCAGCACTCCGAGCTTACCATCTTCCCTGCTTATTACCTGGTCTTGGCCCCCAAGCCTCAGAGCAGGTAGAATAAAGCCAAACATGACCAGGAGTCTTGTTTAGTTGAAGATCCGGAGATGAGGGTTTGGAAAGTAGTAGATATTATTTGTTGACAGTTTTCTGCAAAACCTGATCAAGGCATATGCATATGGGAATGCTATTGAGGCTGGAAAAAGTATCACCAGAAAGAAATAGAAAAAACAATTTCCAGAGATTACATAGGACTAGAATAACTTGTATTTCCAAAACCAGAGTGGAAATATAATTTATAGAGCATCATAAAGTCTTCAAGATGAATGGTAGTGGGAAGAAATTAACTTGGGATTTAATAATGCCCTTGGCTACTGTACAAATTGTATAAGAAAGATTTAAAATGATCCAACTTGTTTTATGTCAGTTGACTCTAGAGAAACTCAAAGAAATGCAATAAAATCTAGCAGTACATGGCACAAAATTCTGTCATTTAATAAGAATTAGCAGACAAATTAAATCAGGAAAATATGGTCAAAATTAGAAAATATCTCTAATTTAATACAAATGGGTTTAAAAATAATAGAAATGTTGGAACTGTGAGATGAAGATGTTACACTGCTTACTATAAGAGAAGTTTGAATATGTTCTTGAAGGTAGGAGAAAAGATGAAAATGATGAGTACAGACAGGTTTTTTTTTAATGCATAAAACTGAGCTGGGAATATAGCTCAGTGACACAACCACCTCCCTGGTTTGATTCTCAGTACCAGAAAAAGAAAATCCATAGAACTCTCATCTTGTAAAATATTAAAATACTGGAACAAATTAATAGATTGGAGCCTGTAGATGAAATGAATAGCAAAGTCAGAGACAAAGCAATGAGTGACAGAGATATAAACTCTTTTAAACAACAAAAAATAAAACAGCATCCACATAGTTTAAATAAATTTTGAGCTTTTGTTCTTGGTTAAAGAGCATGTTTTTCTACTGCTTTGCAGGCCTAATAATTTTCTTTTGGCTGAAAGTCAAGAGTTTATGTTTTTTGGTGGCTAATTTTCTTGAGAATCAAGCATTACCAAATATGTAATTAAATTCACTCGGGGATAGGAACAAGTCAAAGAGGGAGAAAACCTCTTACATGTGTAATCAGTGAAGATTTTACACATTTTCTGGTAAGCATACCTCATAGAGCTGTGAGTCTCAGGGAATCCCAAGCAAAATAAAACTAAATAAAATAAAAATGTTCATCATATTTCAAATGCTAAAAACTCGAGATAAAAGATAAAAATCTTATAAGCAGCCAGATAAAAATATATAGTGAGTGTAAGAATTGCAGGGATTTTTTTTTCAGAAACTGTTTAAGCAAGAAAACATTGAAAGATTATTTTTTAAAATACAGAAAAGAAAAAGATAGTCAATGAGGCTTCCTTTGACCAGAAAAAATTAGTAAATCCTAACAAAATGAAGGCATTTACAAATGAAAGCTGAAATGTTACTACCATCAGACCTACTTTCCAAAAAATATTATGTAACATTTATACTCAAAACCAAAAATGATCGCTTCTCAGCCTTTTGGCTAAGATCAAGTGTAAAACCAAAAATGGTAACATTTAAATCTGAACAAAACAGTAAATAATTTTAGAATGATAAATGCATTGGTAAATATAAATGAAAAATTTCTTTATTTAAAAAATAATATTTAAAGCAAATATAATAATCCTGGAAATAAAATAGATGACAGTAGTACAAAGAATTAGGAGGGCAAATGGAAACAGACTGTTTTAATATTCTTATTTTGTAAGCGAAATGGTATATAATTATTTCAAGGCTGTGTTAAGGTAAAGCTGAATCTTATGAAGTCTAGCACTATTGGTAAAAGCACATGAAACTTACAGGCATAAGTAATAAGCCAAGGTGACCATCAGTTAATTTAAAACACAACTGTGATAGTTTAGATCTGAAATGTTTCCCAAAAGGCTCATGCTCAGAGATGAAGCTTCTGGAAGGTATCACATCATCAGATTAGTGCACTGATGTTCAAGGGTGGGATGTGGCCTTCACTGGGGATGCAATCTGGAAGGGTGGGGCTTTGTCTATGGCACCTTTTCTGTCCCTCTGCTTCCCTGGGGGTAATGGGATGAGCAGCTGCACTCACTCAAGCCCTTCCATCATACTGTGCTGACCTTGAAGCTATCTGGCATTGGACTCAACAATGGACCAAATAAATCTGTCCTCCTATAAGCTGTAGGTGTGACGTAGTTTGTCCCAGGGATGAGAAAGTGACTAATACAATAAGCAAATGGGAAAAAGAGGTGGGGAGCCTATTGGCAAGTGGTACATGAATAGCAAGCATGTATATCAAGGAGTCCCAAGAAAAATAAAATCAAATAACATTAAAAGGCCCATCGAACACACTGATTTCTATACTAAACAAAATTGGTCAATCCTTTTCCCTATCTATGAATTCAAGGAAATTAAGCCCTCCTCCTTTGCTTTTGTTTTGACTATCTTAATCCTTGTCAACAAAATTGGACTACTTTTTACTTTTACATAAGAGCGAATAACAGTAACAAGAACAATAAAATTGAGGCAATGTTATGCTTTTTGTATAATGCAAGTAAGTCCATAGAAAGTGTGCACAGCACAGGGACTAGCTCCATTGTAGAGATCCAGAATTATCAGCAACTTCATTTGAGTTGCTTTCCTGTTGTGCTACTGGTGTATCTCTTCATAACAGAGACCAATTCACCACCCAGCTCCTCTCTGAGGATATCCAAAAGATCTCTGGCTATTTTGGTTTTCTAGTTCAAATACAAATGATGCAAGAATTCTGAAAAAGAATGATCTCTTTTCTTTTACATTTCCTCACTTTTAGGGCTCATTCTTAGGTCTTCCTAATTGTGCCAAATTTGACTTTGACCCAAGATTATTTCACAGTGAAAACATAAAACATATTCAGGACAAAGTCATTTCAAGATGTTTCAATTATCCCTTCCTGTGTAGTAAACCAATATTAAATCTAATGTCTCAAAATATTAGAATTTCACTATTACTGTTACTAATAGTTTGCAGTTCTACATGCGGGTGGTCTTTATTCTCACTGTATCTGGTCTCACTCAAGCATCTGGTGATCTGACTGAGTCTAGGCTTAGCTAGGACAGTTTGAATGAATGGATTCCCTTTTTGTGTGATCTTTCTTTAGAAAAGTTGCCATGGGTATCTTCAGTGGAAGTCAGGATGTCTTAGGAGATATTTTGTCTCAGAGTGCAATGTTTGTTGGTGTCTTGTTGGCCAAAGTAAACCACACGTCCAAGTGTCATGTCAATATAGGACTATGAAAGGGTATAGCATTGGGAAATGCCGTTTACCGGGGTTATTAATGCAGCCATTGATCAAAGTCTTCCAAATTTGAGATGAAACAGACTCGTTTTCATACTAACCAATAACTTCTTAAAGACCACCTGTCGCTTTTTGGGAACATGGGAAAGTGGCAGTCCAAATCTGTACTTCAGAAAGCGATGTTCTTAGCAATTTCTCCTCCATTCCCTCCCACCTGTGGGAGTTTTATGCACAGTATTTTAATGTGTTAGAGGCACCTAGTGTAGGAGCTCTCAATTCTAGAAGTCACTCAATGGCACTGTATTTATAAAACTAATAGAATAGATTTTATTTTTCACATACTTAAAGGAGAAATCTTCCATAAAGAATCTATTTCCCGACTGGCTGCTCTGAAAAGCCATCTTTGCATTGTTCCCGGACCGTCTCCCTGCTCGCTGCAGCCACCTCCGCCGCGCGCCTCCGCCGCGGTCTCCAGCAGCTGTCTCACCAGAGTCCTCGAACTCTCGCTTTCTTTTTACCCGCTGCACCGAACCACCAGCGTGCCCCACCATGTCAGACGCTGCCGTGGACACCAGCTCCGAGATCACCACCAAGGACTTGAAGGAGAAGAAGGAGGTCGTGGAGGAGGCGGAGAACGGCAGAGACGCCCCCGCAAACGGGAACGCTAACGAGGAGAATGGCGAACAGGAGGCCGACAACGAGGTAGACGAGGAGGAGGAGGAGAAAGGGGGGAGGAGGAGGAGGAAGGCGGGGAGGAGGAGGAGGAGGAAGGCGGGGAGGAGGAGGAGGAGGAAGGCGGGGAGGAGGAGGAGGAGGAAGGCGGGGAGGAGGAGGAGGAGAGGAGGAGGAAGGCGGGGAGGAGGAGGAGGAGGAGGAAGAAGGTGATGGTGAGGAAGAGGATGGAGACGAGGATGAGGAGGCAGAGGCAGCTACGGGCAAGCGGGCAGCTGAGGACGACGAGGACGACGACGTGGATACCAAGAAGCAGAAGATCGACGAGGATGACTAGACAGCAAAAAAGGAAAAGTTAACTAAAAAAAGGCCACCGTGACCTATTCACCCTCCACTTCCCGTCTCAGAATCTAAACGTGGTCACCTTCGAGTAGAGAGGCGTCCGCCCGCCGCGGCAGCGCCACCAGCATACACAGCTCTCCACCACCGCCCCACCGAAACCACACGCGAATTTGCAACAGGGAGGAAAAAGAACCAAAACTTCCAAGGCCCTGCTTTTTTTCTTAAAAGTACTTTAAAAGGAAAATTTGTTTGTATTTTTTATTTACATTTTATATTTTTGTACATATTGTTAGGGGTCAGCCAGTTTTGATGATCCGCGGATGACCAAACCAGCCTTCAGAGCGTCCTCTGTCCTACTTCCTACTTTTACTTGTGATGTGACCATGTTCATTATAATCTCAAAGGAGAAAAAAAACCTTGTAAAAAAAGCAAAAACAACAAAAAAACAATCTTATTCCGAGCATTCCAGTAACTTTTTTTGTGTACGTACTTAGCTGTACTATAAGTAGTTGGTTTGTATGAGATGGTTAAAAAGGCCAAAGATAAAAGGTTTCTTTTTTTCCTTTTTTTGCCTATGAAGTTGCTGTTTATTTTTTTTTGGCCTGTTTGATGTATGTGTGAAACAATGTTGTCCAACAATAAACCGGAATTTTATTTTGCTGAGTTGTTCTAAAAAAAAAAAAAAAAAAAAAAAAAAAAGAATCTATTTCCCTTTATCTAGCAAAAATGCTGCCTTCTTATCCAGTACATTTCAGGTAATTTCATTTTACTTCTAATTGGTATTATAGCAGCTATTTTTCTAATGAGAACATTTTTCCTGACATTCCTCCTTTTCCTTCCTTAAACTAAAAGTGTTGCTCTGCCTGCCCTGACCCCAAGGGCACGCTGTGAAGGCAATTGAGACAAGTGTGGTGGTGCTCACCTGTAATCCCAGCTCTTGGGAGGCTGTAAACAGGAGAATCACTATGAGTCCGATCTAGTAGTGAGACCCTAAACACACTGTAGACCCTTCTCTAAAATACAGAAAAAAGAAGTGCCTCAAGTTGAAATTCTGTTCTCTGGCTACACAAGCTGTACATGTCATACCCCTGCTGGCATCGCTTCTTTATGTCTCTTCCAGCATTTCAGCATCTTCAGTCTCTTCATCAGCTTTATAGTTCTGTGTTGTTTTCCTTACGGAGCACTTCAGCTTGAGGCAGGCACACACCTGGCCTGTTCCTGGTAGGGCCCAAGAATACACTGAGGGGGTCTCTCATCTATTCATATTCCTTCCCATAGGCCTATCACAGAAAGGCCTACGAAACAGAAATTGCATATCTGCATTATGTCAGCACTGCTTATGGCTCAGTACAATTTGAATATTACAAACTAACAGCAAAAAGGTGGGGAATCAGATGCTTATTTTTACAAGGGAGTAATCAATTTTGCTATTTTGATACAAAGAAGTTATTTTATTGTTTTTCCAAGGTATTTATTTTCTGTTTTATTAAAAATGATGAAACAAGCTTTTAATACTTTTACTGATTAAAAGTTTTTCTTTTTTGAATGGAATATATTTTATTTTTTTAAAGCTTTATTTTCTTGTTTTGTTCTTTGCTTTCACTATGCTTTACGGGTACATATTTGTAGTATATAATATTTGCTTTCCTTGTATGAAATTGTACATGTAAATAACACATTTCAACTTTTTTTCTTTTTCTCCTTCTTCCGTGTTTTTTATTATTTATTTATTTATTTATTTTTTTGTGTTACCAGGGATTGAACTCAGGACCTTGCGCTTGCCAGGCAAGCTCTTATTCAACTGAGCTATCTCCCCAGCCCCTTCCATGTTTTTTAATCTTTCCAGCATCAGATTCATTTATCTTAGATGATCTTGTGTCTCAGTTACTCTTCTCCTGTTGCTGGGACAAAATACCTGGTACTCAATATGAAGGAAGGAAAGGTTTATTTAGTTCACAGTTGTCAGAGTTTTCAGTCCATACTCATCTGGCTCCAAGGCAGAGTGGCACATGTTGGAGGGCAGCCATTCATGACACTGGAAGATGCCAAAGAGCAAGGGGAGGAGCAGCATCTGAGGCAGCTAACAAATCTCTCTTCCCTCCTTACATTTATATGCAGATTATCTGCCCCATAACAGGTATAACCCTCATACCCATAATCCAAGCAGTGGATCATGAATTAATCACAAAGTCTAGAAGTCGCCCCATGACTACATAAGGTTTTGTTGGAACACCTAAACACAAACCATAACATTCCAACCCTGGCTCCCCAAAGACTCGTGCACATCCCTTTATGCAAAAGACATTTTAATCCATCTCTAAGAGTTGCCATTATCCTAACAGTTTCAGCATTGCTGAAAAATCCAAGTCCCAAGTCTCCAAGATCTAAAGCAAACTTTTAGCTGTGAGCCCCCGTATAAATGAAAAGTTAAAAACTTTTAACATTCAATGAATGGCACAAGAAAACCTTTATCATTCCAATAGTTAGAAACAGTAGGATACCAAGCGCTAGAACCAAAGCAAGTCCAAAATCCAGAAGGGCAAACATTAGGTTGTGTGGTTCCATGTGGAACATCCAAAGCAATCTGGCAAATTGTGAGCTCCACATGACTCTACTCATGTGGCATTTCTGCTAGTTGTAGCTCTCATGTTTTTCTCTCAGCCCTGCTTTGCTTCCTTCTTGCAGCTTTCCTTAGATGATGATGTTCCGTATTCCACTGCATGTTAGGATTCTCATTCTCTGCTTCACACATTGCCCTCTCAGGGGCATACTGCCTGCCTGCCCAGACCTTCTGAAATCTAGGTAGAAGCCTTCTTAACCTCAGAAATCCCACATTCTACATGCACCTAAAAATGATGCCATGTGGATGATGCCAAGGCCTGCTGTCAGCTAGAGCAGTAGCCAGGCTTTCTTCTCTCTTCACTGTAGGGGATAAGTGCCTACATTGCTGAGCACTCTGAACCTGATTCCGAGGAACAAATTCTTTGTGCCACCACCATTCTGGAACATAATGTGGCCGCTGCCATTCTGGAACATGGTGCTCTGCAGCTTTCTCCCTAAAGCAAAGTTCCTCACCCTTGCAGTTCTGAGGCTGCAAACGGTGGAGACCTACCACCTCCTGTGATGCCCTGAGGCTAACCCTTCCAGTCTCTTATTCCTTCTTGGCAAGGGAAATCCTCTCAGTTCTATCTTTGCAGTCCACAGCTTTATTGGTGCTACCTTTATGGCCCAACTCACAATATTTTAAATTATCTTGATAGGTTCTTTGCTCTTGATTCTCAACATAAAAAGACTAAAAGGACCCAACAGTAGTCATGTTACTGCTTCAACATTTAACTGCCTTGAAATTTCTTTTGCCAGATTAATTAATCTTCCACACTTAACCTCAATCTCAGGCAGTCCCTGGACAGAAACAAAATGCAGACAAACTTTCTGCCAAGCCATCACACACATCCTCTGGAGTCCAACAACCAATGCAGTCTTTCTTTCCAGCAGAAACCTCCCCAGCCTGGTCTTTACAGGCAGGATTTCTATCAGCTTTCTGATATTTTGAGCTCTGACCAGAATCTTCCACACAGAAAAGCCAAAGGTATTCCAGCCCTACTCTTACAGGGAATATCTCAAAACCTTTCCCATCACTTCCTGTAAGTGAATCCCAAAAGCTCTTGAATGATATGGTAGGGGTAAAGGCATAGCAATGACCCCACTTCTGTGGTACCAAATTCTGTCTCAGTTACTCTTTCATTGCTGGAACAAAATACCTGACACATAAAATTAAGGAAGGAAAGGTTTATTTAGCTCACACTTAGTGGAGGTTTTGGTCCATACTCAGCTGGCTCCAAAGCAGAGTGGCACACGGCAGAAGGTAACCATTCATGGCAGCAGATAATAGCAAAGAACAAAGGTGAGTGCAACAGCTGTGACAGCTAGCAATCTTCTCTCCCCTTCTTATATTGGTATGCAGATTATGTGCCCCAGGGTGGGTCCAGCACTCACACCCATAATCCCAGAATGGGATTGTTAATTAGTCACAAACTCTAGCACCTGACTCATGACCATATAAGGCTTATTTGGGACACCTAGACATAAACCCATAATACCTTATATAGTTAATTATTTTATATGCACATTGAAAACCAGACCAATGGGCCAAAGAACACATAAAATGTGTAAGCCAGTTGTCCTAAGTCAAGGTATACTTGTAGATACGTTGTCTGCACAGGATTACAATATTTTATTTTCTTTCTCTGTTTTGTCTATTATTAAAAATCACATGATATTTAAGATTGTGTATCTGAGTTACTTCACTTAACATTATGATATTAAGGCACATTTGTTTTTTATGCAAATGATTCAAATTTATCCTTCTTTATGGAAGAGTGGTACTTTACTGTGTGTAAATATAGGCCCCACTTTTTTTTCCATTGATCTCTTGGACATATCGCATTTTTCCAAGATTTGGCTATTAGAAACTACACTGCTGTAACATCAATATGCACACATCACAGTGGAATGATGTCTTAACTCTTTGGGGAAGTTACCTAGAAGAATACCTTCTTAAAGACACCTAGATGTGTGAGATGAAATTTCTACTGTTAATTTTTGAGGCATATCCATGCTGATTTCCACAGTAGTTGAATCAGTTTTCAGTACCCCCAGCAATTTGTATGATTTTTTTCCCCCACATCATCACCAGCATTTGTGATTGGTTGATTCCTTTATGGTACCCACGCTTCCTGGAATGACACAGAATTTTACTATTTTTTAACTTTGCATTTCTCCAATGGTCAGCAAAGTTGAACATGTTTTGTTCACTGGTATTTCTTCATCTGAGAAATATATTTTACTTCAAATGCACATTTTTTGAGTCTTTAAATTTGAAGGGGTATTATTACTATTATTGTTATTATTATTATTATTATTATTATTATTATTATTATTATATTCTAGATAGTAGTCCTTTGCCTGAGTGGTAGCTGGCAGGAATTTTTTCCT